GGTAACGAGCCAGGAGCCCGGAGAGTCGCAGGTTGATGGGGATGCATTTTAGCCTCCGCCGTCTACTTAGTTATATATTTTCTTTTGGAGTTCCACAGTAAACTTGTGTTTAGACATTTGAGAGTCTTGTTCTAGAAGTTGTAAAGACTGTGTGCCTTATTTCCTTTTTGTCAGATATTTGTATTTGAGACTTGTTGAGTATTTCAGTTTATCTACTCAGATCTTGACTATGTACTTCTATGTTGTTGGATGATGAGATATTTATGTGACTATTATCATTTCATCAGTATTCCTTGTATTATTTTTTACCTGTTTTGTACCTACACCAGTTGTTGACTCTACTAGATAGATGTTAATTGTGATGGTGAAACATGTTATTGCACGGTGTGGTGCATGACAGGTTTGACATTCTTGGTTTCACCTTGGACTGCAGCCTTGTGTGAACCCAGGGGCGTCACAGTTATTAAGATATTCATCCTGAAATCTTAAATACATACATGAATACATACATGTTAGTCCCTAACATCTTTGTAATTGCTCATTTACCATGATATTACTTTTAGCATTTAATTAATTTTATTATATAAGATTATATACCATTTTTAATAAATTATATAGGCTAAATACCCATATTGGTATTTTAATTCCACCCTATTTACCAAGAAGGTATTTTAATTAGGCAAACCTGCTTTAAGGCATTTTAATTGATTCAACTTACCAACAAGGCCCTTTTTCTCGTCGGCGACCAGTTTTTTGGCGAGAGCTCGTCACGTGCGTGGCACATAATGACTTACATTGTTTTTTAGCTGCTGATGTGGCATGGATTTTCTGACGTGACAGTGTTTAAAGGCGGGAACTAACCCTCTAGAAATCACAATTTACCCAAAATAGGACATATTCGCCCAACTATTTTATCCACGTCAGAAAATCCGTACCACATCAGCAGCTAAAAACAGTTTAAATCATCACGTGTCACACATGCAACTAGCTCTCGTCGGAAAACTGATCACCGACGAGAAAAATGGTATTGTTGGTAAGTTGAATCAATTAAAATGCCTTAAAGCATGTTTGCCTAATTAAAATACCTTCTTGGTAAATGGGATGGAATTAAAATACCAATATGGGTATTTAATATAAAAACCTCGATGTTTATAGCCAGTAATTAGGCTCCACAAAATAGGTTAACTTTACATTGTAGTTTGCTATTGATAATACTGTTGGCAATATCATTACTTTTCCTCTTTATCTTTTATTCACACTTTTCTGATGAAAGTTTTTTTGCTAGTCACTCAACTGGCTATATATTATTTTTATAATATCAGAGGTTGGAATATTATTTTCTATTTAAAAAGTGTTGACATTATTTTCTTAAAAAATATATACACATAATAGCAATAGTATATACTTCAGTTCAACTTAAACATTAGCTTGAAACCATTCAGAATGAGGTCATTTCTATGCTAGAATGGTGACACAGTGATTACACAATCCAAAAGTCAAAGAAAAAATTTCTACAAAGGAAAAATAATTTAATATGTCAAATTAACAACTAATTTATAAAATACACAGGGGCAATGCAGATAGCTATAGAAAATAAGGTATATATCTTCATAAAAATTTCATTGTGAGTGACCAACTACAATCATTATAATTTAAGCATAAATAATTTTTATTTTAGTTACTAATTTGATACGTGTAACTATGAAATAAATCTCAAGTAAAAAATATGAATTGAAATTGTATCATCTTGTAGGTAAATAAATAAATGTTATTGAAGCTCCTCTTTATATTAAATTTAAAAGCAATAACTTAAATTATTAAGCGCTAAATATTAGTTCATGCGAGAAATTAAAGTAATCTATGGTCTATATACATATATAGTCAATCGATTAAATGTATTAAAATTATATTGACTACAGTCAAAATTATATGGTGGGTTCATATTAAATATAATTTATAAAAAATAGTATATTAAAATCAAAAACATTTAAACCATTGTATAGATTGTTTGAAAATTTTTGCATGTAAAAACTATCTTGCCTACGAATAGTGATGTGCACACTTAACTATAGCCTAATACATCTTAAGAACAACTTACTCTTCAATATCATCATTAATTTATATATCGATACATTACACTGAAAACACAATAAAAATTTAGAAAACTACAAAAGAAACACTCTCAAAAATTTTAAAAATTATAAAAACAACACCCTAAACTTTTATAATTTACAAATACACAAAACTATTAAAAAGTATATTAAAATCAAGAAACTACAAAAAATCATTGAAAATTTCAAACTTTGGAGGGGTAATTTGCAATGTAATAAACTTTAAGTTTGTTTTTTTGTAAATTTCAAATCTAATAGATTTTCAATTAGTTATGTTCTTTTTAAAAAAAGTTATGGGTAATATCGATCATGAAAAGTTTTTCCTAAACCTATATTTTTAAAGGAAATATGATATTTTTTATGATTTTTTTATTTTCTAGGGGTTGCTAGTAATTTTGTATATTTATTTTAGTGTCTATAGGTTAGAAATTCTCATGTTGTTTTTTTGTAAAGTATGAATATTAAGGGTTTTTTATAATTTTTTAAACTTATAGGCCTTTTCTACATATTGTAAATTATTTATAGACTATTTATAATTCCTATATTTTCAATTTACTAATGAGTTTCAAATTCTTAGGGTTTTTTTGTAAATTTTGAATTTTGAGTGTTTGTTTGTAATTTTTAAAACTTTAAGAGTGTTTTTTATAAATTATAAATTATGCAGGGGATATTTGTAACTCCTATATTTTCAATGTACTGTTAGGTTCAAATATATTAGGATTTTTATAAATTTTATAATATTGAGGGTTTTATCTTATAATTTGTAAAAAGTTTAGAGCGTTTATTGAAATTCCATAAAGTTTTGGTGGTTGTTTGTGTTATTTGTAGGTTTTTAGTGTGTTTATAGGTTTGAAATTTTCAAGGTGTTTTTTTACAAATTTTAAATTTTTAGGAGTGTTTTTGTATTTTTTAGAACTTACAAGATACTTTCTCCAATGTCAAAAACTTTTATTTTTTTAGCTAGCATATACTTTGCATTTTTCAGAACTTACAAGATACTTTCTCCAATGTCAAAAACTTTTATTTTTTAGCTAGCATATATTTTTAGATTTCTCACTGAATTTAAATAAATACAATTTATAATTTTTAAGATGTTATAATAAAATTTTAAATTTGTAGGGGTATTTTTATAATTTTAAAAACTTAGAGGATATTTTTTACAAGGTCTAAAAACTTTTAGGTGCTGGCTAACATATATTTTTTAGATTTCTCTGCAAAATAAAATAAGTAAAAGATTTGGATTATATCAAATATATCTTCTTTATACAATAACATGTTAAGTCTCATTATAGATAGAATAAACAATTTAATTATAAATTCAAAGAAGATATGAAAATTAGAATAACTTAGAATAACAACATAATATTTTAAAAAGTTAAGGGTAATATTGACCATGAAAAGATTTTTCTCAACTCTTACTTTTAAAAGAAGTATGATATGATATGATATATATATTGAAAATTGTTTTCTATAATTGTCTACCGAAGCACATCAATTTTTTTGATATTTAATTCTATTTTTTGTCCCTAGCAAATTTACAGAAGAAAATAAAAAATGCAGAAGATGCTTTTGATATTCTCTTTCATTTTCAAGGTACGAAGACAGAACTTCTTTTTTATTTTTTTGCTATTTTTTTAAAAATTAATTAATAAACTAAAAGTACTAGATTGAAATACTTCTTATATTAAATAAGTCCTCTTTCAAAAAGTATTATATGCAAAACTTTTTTTATCTCTGGGTAATAATATATTTTATTATTCAACAGCGTTAGTTAGAGAAAAAAAAAGTCTCAGGAGTTTCATGTTTGCTATGCTACCCAACCGAATTGATATTTATTTATTATCATATAAGAGGGTCATCCTCATTGAAAAAGAAAAAGATAATCCTATCGAAAATCAACCTAATTCTGAACTCTTAACTTATTATCCCAAGATTCTTACTATCTTCCAAAGTCACATGCCGAAAAGTATTTAATTTTGACCGAAAATAACAATCACAAAATCAAACTTTTCCCTGTCAAATGTCAAGCCACGGAGTCAAATTCACACCATCAACGTGTGTAGCTACCTATACAAATCCTCTCTCTCGGTACCTTCCCCTCCACTGAAATCAACCTCAAGAAAAGAAAATTTTCTCAAGGATCCAAAATATAGGACCAATAAGAGGGACAAGTGAGATGTCCCCCTCCTATTAGATAATGAGTTGATCATCATTTGGCCATCATTAATGATGACCAACTCATTATCCAATAGGAGAGAGACACATCATTTGTCCTCTTTATTGGTCTCATATTTTGTGCCCCTGTAGCAAAGTTCTTATTGATGGTCAACTCATAATCCAATAGGAGAGGGACACATCATTTGTCCCTCTTATTGGTTCCATATTTTGGGTCCATATAGCAAAGCTCTCAAGAAAATAAAAATTTCAATTTAAAATTAAAAACGGAAAAAATACAAAAGCTAAAGAACAAGGAGATAGGGGAGGGGATCTGAGGGAGAGAATCACCGGGTAAGGGAGTGTGGATAGAGCGCGTCCGAACCAACCAATCAGAGGTCGTCAAAACCTGCCCCCGATCTCTACTCGCCCACGCGCCCAGACCTCAGCCCACGCGCAGAATACACCCATCCTCGGCGGTGCCCGCTTACGCCCCTCTTCATCCCGTGGGTCGCCAACCCCCGCACTACTCTTTCCCAACCCGCACTCCCAACTCTTCGCCTCCCTCCCCTCCGACGGAACCAACCGCCACATGAAAGGAACGAGAGAGGGGAGAAGAAGAGGGAGCAACCCGGGAAAAAAAACTCCGCTCACAAATCATTCATTGGCATTTTACCCTTATTATTATTTATATTATATATTCCTCTCGTTCTTCTACCTAGGGTTAGGTTTATCATGGCGGCGGCTGAGTGCGTAGCGGCCATCGTTTGGGGGCGCGAAGGCGGAGCTACCTGTGAGGAGGAGCCGGCCGGCGAGCGCGTTTCGGGTCGGGCCGGGGCCGAGGTAGGGTTGGTCCGGAGTAGCCCTAGGTGCGAGATCGGGGCGGATCTCGAGCAGAAGATTGCATCTAGGGATTCGAGCGTCTCGGCTTTGGAGCAATTCAAGGCCGCCGGCACCGACCGTGAGTTTCCTCTCTCTTGTTTTCCCCTTCGATTAGGTTTTTAGATGCGTTTAGATGTTAGATGAGGCTTATTGGATTTCAAAAGTTCTCTTTTTATTGGGATTTAACAACGGAATTTATAATAATTATGGATAAATGTTAACACATTTTGATAATTCGCCTTCAAGGCTCAAACCTTTTTTTCTAACGAGGAAAAGCCGGACCGTTTCTGATTGAGCAACGTTTGACACTTCTTGAATTGGATTCATTATTAGGGTATATGAAGGAAAGGAGCAGCATCGCCGTTATAGGTCTCAGTGTTCACACGGCACCGGTTGAGATGCGTGAAAAGCTCGCTGTTCCTGAGGCGCAGTGGCCTCGTGCCATTAGTGAGCTTTGCAACTTGAATCACATAGAAGAAGCTGCAGTTCTCAGTACCTGCAACAGAATGGAGATTTATGTAGTGGCCTTGTCTTGGCATCGAGGGATCAGAGAAGTAACAGATTGGATGGCGAAGGTAACAAGAGATTTTGAAGCCCTAATCTTTGGGTGTCATTTGGTACTTTTTCAATTACTTATGATGTTCTAAATGCTATTATTGCAGACTAGTGGAATCCCTGCTTCAGAGCTCCGTGAGCATTTATTCATGCTTCGTGACGGTGATGCCACTCGACATCTATTTGAAGTGTCTGCAGGTTTAGATTCTCTCGTTCTAGGAGAAGGCCAGATCCTTGCGCAGGTCAAACAAGTTGTTAGAGTCGGTCAAGGGAGTGGAGGGCTTGGAAAAAATATTGACAGGTTGTTCAAGGATGCAATTACTGCTGGAAAGCGAGTTCGCAGTGAAACCAACATTTCATCTGGTGCTGTCTCTGTAAGCTCGGCTGCTGTCGAGTTGGCTTTAATGAAGCTACCAAAATCACAATCTGTGTCTGCTAGAATGCTTGTTATCGGAGCTGGTAAAATGGGGAAACTTGTGATCAAGCATCTGGCCTCTAAAGGCTGCAGAAAGGTTGTAGTTGTTAACCGGTCAGCTGAAAGGGTTGATGCCATCCGTGAGGAATTGAAAGATGTTGAGATAGTATACAAACCTCTTGATGAGATGATGTCCTCAGCTGCTGAAGCAGATGTTGTATTTACAAGCACAGCATCAGAAACACTGTTGTTTTTCAAAGAAAATGTTAAACTCCTGCCTCCTGTAAGTGATGAGGTTGGTGGGGTGAGGTTTTTTGTTGATATATCAGTTCCTAGGAATGTTGGGTCTTGTGTTTCTGACCTGAAGTTGGCACGAGTGTACAATGTTGATGACCTTAAGGAAGTGGTGGAAGCCAACAAAGAGGACAGACTAAGGAAGGCAATGGAAGCTCAGACTATTATCACCCAGGAGTTGAAGAGGTTTGAGGCATGGAGGGACTCATTAGAGACTGTCCCTACCATCAAGAAGTTGAGGTCTTATGCTGACAGAATTAAGGTTGCTGAACTCGAAAAATGCTACCAGAGAATAGGAAATGAAGCTCTCACAAAGAAGATGAAAAAGGCTATCGATGACCTCAGCAACAGCATAGTGAACAAGCTTCTTCATGGCCCATTGCAGCATTTAAGATGTGATGGTAGTGATAGTCGTACTCTTGATGAGACACTTGAGAATATGCACGCTCTCAATAGGATGTTCAGTCTTGATACAGATAAATCAATTCTTGAGCAGAAGATCAAGGCCAAGGTGGAGAAAGCTCAAAACTGAAGATACTGTGATATTTCTTTCATCTGCACATAGATCATTGTCCTCCCTGAGGTTGGTCGAAGTATCTGCATATCTCACTCCTTGTTTCTCCACTCAAGCTGCCAGATGAAATAAAGGAGGGCTCATTCAGCTTCTCGTTGAGTTCATCAAAGTATATAGAGGGATGGTAGAGGCTCTTTCTAACTCCATGTCTAGTTCTGTCCATTATATTATGTGGTCATTTGGTTTTATGCAATCAGTAAGTCATTTGAACTAATCTGTCTGAGATTGGCATCTGTTCACAGATGGATTGATGTATTCTATCTAAATCATTTTCAACACCATAAATTTTGGTAATATTTTTAATCCAGTGGTCTCTTTGTGCTGTTATAGTTATGTGATGTCTGATAATTATTTAGCAGGGATATCTACTCGTCTTCTTTATGGTTAAACTTCTAGCTAGTGACGGGCAATCAGCATAGTGATTCTGGGTTAGTTAAATTTCAAGGTTTTGGAATGAAATCAACCTATCTACTATGTAGCTAGCTGTGAAGTTTCCTGTGAGGTGCTTACAAGTTGAATTATCATTTTAGACGCTGTGGCGTTGTATGCTTTTGTTTGACAGCTTGACATGGAGTATGCACTTATGTGTCTTCTTGTGAGAATGCATTGGGATTATGATTTGGTCGTAGTGTCTTCTTAGAGAACTGCAAAGTCTCCATCATTAATCGTAAGTTCTTTTCTAGCCATTTTTATTTGATTTTAAGACTGTCGAGTATTACAATTTGGATGGTGTTTATTGATAGATAAAAGATATCTTCTTTAGTCTTCTGAAGCGAGCACAATTGTGCAAAATTTTTGATTCATGAGTACGATACAGGGAGTAGGCTCCTTTATCAAGGTTATGTCACTTGTGCATGCTGCTCTCTGTTAATGAATTTCAAGCTTTCAGTGAGACATTTCATATATCAGGAACTAATAGAGAATATATCCGGCAAGTAGGAAAGTATCTTCAGAAATATTCGCTTTGGAGTAAATCCTGGCAGAGATCGCAGGCAAACTTCAATTGGGAGACCGCCTTTTATTGAATGCGTTATCCATGCGGTCACGCTTATTATGTTTGCTCTTTCTTTTGAAATTCTTTTTCTTGTTTTCACATGCGCTTTCTAAAATTTTCAGTGCTGTAGAAATGCTTAGATCTGATTAACATGATGAAACGTCATAGATGCAATTTTCTTTGATCAGGCGTGCGTGCTGCTCTCGCTTCTAAATTTGGCTCCCTTATTTTACATGTTTAACTGCAAGAATAATAATATAAATCTTCCTATCAGTGAACTGGACGGCTAAAGTTTGGGTCAAGTTCCCTGTGTCCACGGTTGCTTAGGGCAGAAACTAGGAAGTTGAGCTAAATTTTGATTGATTTGGCGATATACCTTCGTTAGCGTCGAGTCCTCCTTATTTGGCAGAGCCTGTCCCATGGCCTGAATCATCTGATCCTAAACGCTGTTAGCTTCTCTAGACTTGAATGTGGGTATTACAGTGATTTGAATTCAGATGTCATAAAAAAGTTTGGATGCATTTGATACTTTTCTGAGCACCTCTTTGTGCTATGTCACAAGATGGGGGGCTGTGATATGAATTCTGGTGATGGTTATAAGCGTATTACTTCCGCTGCTCTCTTTGGTTATAAACGAAGTACTTTCATCATCATAACTTTAGTTTTAGTGTAATGATTAGTGACTTTTAATCAGAGGAAATCATATTTAAATACCGCTGGCTATGAATTTAAAGCGGATTTTATAAAAATTGACACCACTGCATGAGTCTAGATTTCGGCCATTAGAAGGACGCTCAACCTCCAAAGACATGTTAGAATATGGAAATTTAACCCTCAATCATCGCCGCAACGTTGGAGTTCTCATGTAATTATTATGGATTGTCAGAACGCTGCATGGTAAAAGATTTGAGTATTTAGTATCTTAAATTATGAATCTAGACAATTGATCCAATGTACTAGTTGTTGATTTAGTAGTCAAGGATTAGAATTTAGACATGTGCTCATTTTGGTTTTCAAAAGTCAAAGTCAAGAGAGGCATGATCTGAATTTGCTGTTCTTCGCGTTAGAGGCATGAAGGTCTATATCGCAAGGGATTGAAATATCGCACAAAATCCCTCCCAGCGTTGACTCTCTCTTCATGTTTTACATTACTATTCTAATAAGCCCCTAGCCTTTTTTTTTCTTGACAACTTGGCCCGCAATGTTACATTTAGTTTTCTCCTTTAGCCCTAATAGCATGACAAAAAATATGCTCTCATAGCTCCTTTACAAATTTGTTGAAGTGCTATTGAACATCTATGTTGAATCTTCCCTCTCACCTGATGCTCATGCATCCAACCCCAACATTTTCTCTTCCATCTCTCTTCCTTCATTAATCATCTGTCCTTCTTCCTCAATTACTATCTCTTTCGCAGCTACGGTCTCTCTTCATTCCTCAATCATCTCTCCTCTTTCTCCTCCTCCTTCAAGGATGTCTCTCCCTTTATGAATGATGCTCAACTCAACAGTAGCAACTAACAACAGTTAAAGTTGACGAATTCCGCACAAAGTACTCAACAGCAGCTTAAGTATGACAAGACTAGACACAAGTGATAGAAGATTAATTTGATGAAATTTAACAAATAATAGGTAAAAGGTGGCAAAGTTCTGCAAACGCAATTTTGTCACCTAAAAAACATCTCCAAATCTATTAGTCCCAAGAATTAATCACACTAGGTTAACATCCCCCCCAAAAAAAATCATACTAGGTTAATAATTTTGGAGGATCGCTGCTAAGATGCGTTATCTAAAACAACTTGATAGATTTTGTCACGCCCCCAAAATGCACGGCTTATTTTGAGATGCATGACAATGGCAACACGTGCACAAAGCACATGCTAAGCCTGCGGTGCGCTTCCATATTACAATAAATTTTATTTTAAAAGAAACTTTATTGACAAATAGAGAAGTCTCGGAGCAAAACTAAATTATAACAAGTTCACTCTAATGAGTCATAAGACTCTTATTGCATATGCATAGTAGTAAGACTCATATAACTTTTAACTTTCAGCATCAAACACCCTAAAAGATCCTTCTCATGTTCCAAAATTCTGAGATATAGATAGAGCTATCTAATTTTCATCTGAAAAAGATTGAAAAATAATGGGAGTGAGTTTACACTCAGTGAGCAGAAAACTTATCATTAGCGGATCAGACAAGTTTAAGAATTTATCAATACTAAAATTTAAATAAGCTATCGTCAAAAAGACGATTAAGAAACACATAATATTTCGAATAAGAGGAATTTCCGAGAATAGTTGTGATATTTCATAAAAGAATATTCACAAATTATGAAACAATATGAATGAACAATAAATACTTTTAAAATCGTAATTATCCATCTAAATCCACACATGCAAAACTTCCTTAGTTGTTACACTAAGGCTACAAAAATTATAGCCCAGTAGCATGGGAATGCGCATCAAATCACTATAAGTTAACCTGGTGACAGAATGTACCTAACACTACTATAGGTTTCCCGAAAGCCACTTCGCTTTTGCCAAAAATGTCACTTTAACACTGGTTGGTACAATCAATACCATATGGTAGGTTTTATCAAATCACTTCAGTCCACATATAGCAGACTTCTGAGGATTTTTTAACATTTAAACACTTTTCTTTTCGCTCAAGGTATCACTCATAATTTTCACTAGTATGAAAAACAATATAAATGCTTAAACACTTTTTCAAACTTTTCTCATATCAATTTCATGAAAGTAGAATATTCATGAAACTAAACGAATAGATAAAATTTTTTTGTCAAATATAACTCTTTAATAAATGCATTTGAATGGTAAATTTAAAATGATATATTTTCAATAATCTCATATACTAAAACAATATTTACCTTGTAAAAGATAAATAGCTATCACAATTTAAATTTGTTAACAATTACTAGTAATGAACATAATAACATGTCTAATCCACAAATTCTCTACACAAAAATAAATTATCATTTAAATAATATATAATAGAAAATATCTAATGAGAAAAAATCTATTCACCTCAAGAGATTTGATAATAATTTAGAGAACCGTACTCCAAAAGCTTACTCTTCGATCAGACCTACATGCATATAGGGGTGTCCAAAAAGCCCGGAGCCCGGGCCCGGCCCGGTGTCCGGCCCGGGCCCGGCCCGGTCGTGCAAAAAATCTATTCACCTCAAGAGATTTGATAATAATTTAGAGAACCGTACTCCAAAAGCTTACTCTTCGATCAGACCTACATGCATATAGGGGTGTCCAAAAAGCCCGGAGCCCGGGCCCGGCCCGGTGTCCGGCCCGGGCCCGGCCCGGTCGTGCCCGGGCCCGGAAACCTGGGCAAAACCCGGGTCCGGGCCCGGGCCCGGGTCGCCGTTGGCGAGCCCGGCCCGGGCCCGGAACAGTAAAATTTTTTAATTTTTTTTATTTTTTTTTATTTTCTTATATATAAAATATATGTATATGTATATATATTGTGTATATAATATATATATATATATATATTATATTATATATATATATGATATAGGGAGAGAGACGAGGAGAGAGAAATTGGGGAACCTTTGTACCATAGTTGCTTTAAAGCAACTTTGGTACGTGATGTGCGCCTTAATCTTGCCCCGTACATCACACCTCGAGATAGAGCCTCAACCACCCTTCACCAACTCCTTAATATAGATGTATGGACAAGTTTAGGCACATCACTACCAAGGTTGTTTGGAGCAACTTGGTACCAAGTTTCTCGATTTTTTCTCAGTATATATTATATATATTATATAATTATATATATATATTATATATATATATATATATACTAATATATATCATTATATATAGTATATATATAGTATATATATATATATATTATCTCTCTAGTATATAATTATTTTATAAGTATACTCTTCTCTTATTATAAAGTATATGATATGGGTATAAATATGCTGCTGTTAATATATGTATAAAGTATATATAAGTACATTATAAGTGAGTACAATGCATACTTCTCTCTTATATATGTATAATAGTAACTATATAGATATTATTATATAGATATATATTACTCTTCTCTCTCTCTCTCTTAGTATATAAGGATATATAAGTATATTTTCTCTTATATATATTATATATATATATATATATATATATATATATATTTTATATATATATATATATTATTACTATATATAATATATTATTATATATATTATATGTATAAGCTATACCCCTATATACAGTATACAGTGTATACTCGTCTTACTATAAGTATATATCAGATATACTTCTTCTCTTATTCTATTATATAGTCTTCTATATAATTTTATATAGTATATATATATATATATATATTATATATATATATATATATATATATTATATTGTATTATATATATATATATATATATATATAAGTATAATGTATAAGTATACTCTCTCTTATATATGTATAATATATGTATAAGTATATATAAGTATACTCTCTCTTATATATGTATAATATATGTGTGTATATATAAGTTTATATGTGTGTGTGTTTTTATGTATAATACAATTTGTTTATGTAATTACTATAAGTATTTACAATTTGTTTATGTATAATATATGTATATGTGTGTCAGTGTGTGTGTGTATATATATACATATACATATATTGAATGACATGAATACTTTGGGCTACTTAGTATATAAGTATATATAAATATAAGTATATTCTCTCTTATATATGTTTATATCTCTTATATAATTATATATATGTATAAGTATGCTCTCTCTTATATATGTGTACAGTGTATACTCTCTCTTATATATATATTTATATTCTCTCTCTCTTAGTATATAAGTATACTTATATATACACATATATAAACATAAACTTATATGTACATATATAAGTATATTTATATAATAGTATAAATACATATAAGAGTATAAATATATATTTATATATCTATACATATATATAAACATAAACTTATATGTACATATAATATAATTATATTTATATAAGAGTATAAATATATATATACTATTATATAAATATAATTTTTATGTCTTATTGTTTTTTAAAATTTTTAAAAAAATAAAAAAATAAAAAAACAAAAAAATCCGGGCCGGCCCGGTGTCCGGCCCGGTCGGGGCCGGGCCCGGCCCGGACCACCCGGGCCCGGGTCCGGGCTTGGGTTTTGCCCGGCCCGGGCCTGGTTTTCCGGCCCGGGCCGGGCCGGGCCGGCCCGGATGGACAGCCCTACATGCATACAATATGTATAAATAATAAAAATTCTAATTATAAAGTATTTTGGGTATGAAAAATAATGCTCTGGTTTTTAGGGTCTTCTCTAAAATTTTATTTCTATCCTTTGTTCTTAAACAAAATTTAGACTTAGTTGTAAACTTTTCTATCCTGAAGGGTTGGAAGTTAATGTATCCAAAAACTAATTTTTCTTAGGCATTTTAATTTGGACTAAAAATTAATTTCTGGAAACTTCGGTGTTAAATGGAAATTTACTATTCTGCATGCATTTTAGTTTGAACTAGAAATTAAACTCTAGAAACTATGGGGGTTAAATTGAAATTTCCTATTTCTTCTCCAATTTTCATATCCATTCTCTGTTTCCTCGATGCCTCAGAACCCCTTTGATTAGGGTTAGGCTCTACGACAAGATTAGCCATTGTTGGCAAAGATCTAGGTCAAAGATGGTAGGAGATCGTTCGACAACACCGGAGATGACGACGACAGCTAGAAAGGTGTGATTTTTTTTTTGTATGCAACATAAACCATCAAAGAATAAAACTAACCTGTTAGAAGCTCTGTTTTTCCTCATTCTCTTCCGCCTCGTTTGGTACGCAAGAATGGACTTAAATGAGAATAGAATGGAAGAATGAACGGAATGGAATGTACGTGGGAATGAAATGCCCATTCTCATTCTCTTGTTTGGGTGTTTTTGTAGAATGAAGCTTGAATGAAAATCTCATTCTGATTCTCATGTTTGGTATCATTAGTTCACAAGTGAGAATAAAATCTTATTCTCTAGTAATGCCCTTACAACAACATAGATTTTTAAAAAGATAAAAATAAACATTAATGAGAATAACTAAACAATTTTATTTTTAAAAATAAACTTCATAAAAATAGGCAATATTTCGTGTTTCTATCCTAGAATCTATTTTCCTATATATGCAAGCCTAAGGAAAAATATTTTAGTCAATTGTTCATACATATCCATGTTATTAATCTAGTTATGTCGCTCAATGAGACAAGATTTTTAGATTTTTTTTTGTTATCAATGGGGGTGTAATTAGAAATTACGTAACTAATTTGATTCTCACTTGAATGAGAATGCATATTCCTCATCAATTCACTTGGAATGCTCATTCCCACAAAAAATGGGAATGATTGTGGGAATGATCATTCTCTGTATGGGCATTCCAACTTCTAAAAAATGGTTATGTTTGGTATGGGGAATGAGAAGTGGGAATGATCATTCCATTCCACCTCATTCCCGCGACCAAACGATGCATTCCTTTCTCTAGTTCTCAAGCTTCTACTTTTTCATTATTATTATTATTATTATTATTATTTAATTTCCATGGCTTTTGGATTTCTAAACTCCCATATTGATTATACTTATTACAACACTCAATAACTTCATTTACTACCTAAAGTTATGTAACTCTTCATTTTCTAAAAAAAACGGTACTCTACAGATTTGGGCTCTAAATTAAAAATACAAAGATTTGAGGGTGTAGAAGAAACTTAAAAAAGAATTTTCGATTTAATTGGACGAAAACCAAACAAAAAAATAAAAATAAATAAATGTGAAAAAGATTAGGGCTAAATCTCATCCCTAGATTCGGGTGGCGCAGGTCTTCACCTCGAAGATTCTCACGGCACGCATAAGCAGCAGCAGTAGGCTTCGTAAAAAGCGCCGCCTCTCTCCGGCGAACTCGCTCGCCGTGGAGAGTCGATCTCATAATGGATTACAGAAACAAGCACATCCTCGCCCCAATGGTCCGAGTGGTCAGTTCAATTCCTCTCTTTCCGTCGAAATTTATCTTCAAATTTGTTAATTTTTGTTAAACTCCTTTTGGTTTTGATCTGTTTTTTTTCATTTAGGGCACTCTCCCGCTTCGATTACTGGCCGCAGAGTACGGCGCTGATATAACTTACGGCGAGGAGATCATCGATCACAAGATGATCAAGTGCGAGCGCCGCGCCAATGAAACCCTAGGCAGCGTCGATTTCGTCGAGAGGGGGACCGGCAGCGTCGTATTCAGGACTTGCGATGAGGAGAAGGACCGGGTGGTGTTTCAGATGGGTACTTCTGATGCTGTTCGAGCTCTCGCGGCTGCTCAACTCGTGTGAGTGATTAAAATTTCACCCTTTTAGGGTTTTCAAGTGTTTTTTAATCTTTTAAATTGTATTGTAAATGCTGCAGGGTCCAAAATTGATGATCTTTTTAATATAAACAAGTCTATTTCAGCTTAAACTCGGGAAAGTTGGCTTCAGATCGTAGACAAAGTAGTATCTTGACCAAATTGATGACACATTGGAAAATAAAATTCATGTGGAAGTACTATATCTGAGATTTAATTAACATGACGTAGCTGGCTTTACCATACATATGTTGGTACTATATACTGTATAGTTCTAAACCTGCGGAAAAGTGAAAATAACTGGAAAATTTAAGAATACATTTTAGCTTAGAATTATCAGCAGTCTTAAATTAAATGTATGGTGATCGCCTAGTAAAATCTTGATCCTAGATATTGGCTTTACTATGCTGAATCAGTTTTACCTTCAACTCTATCGATTACCACATCCTCCACTGTACTGGTTTTGTCCAGGAGTTCTTCTTTATGTGCGCACACTTGTGTGCAACTGTAGATGGGTGTTTTTTGGTGGGGATGGGGACATTATGTGCTGATGTGTTCCATAAAGATGTGAAAAAAGTTAATTCTGAGATTTGGGGTCTAATCTAAGCCTGTTCCTGTCTAGGTTTTTGTACGGATATAAAAGGTATAATAGATTAATCAATGAATTGGTAGATCTTAAGTTAATGTGAATGTCAGTAGCTTAGGTTTGCCCAGGAAAAAGAAAGAAAAGACAAGTATTTACATGTAAATGGTTCATCTACCAGCATAAGAGAAGTCTTTGTCAACGTGAGACAAATTGGTGCCTTTGGATGGAGTACATTGTATCAAGATTGCTCCCCGAGGATGAATGGGGGAAAGTATTAGATTAATAGATTGAATATTTTTGAGAAGGCAAAATTTATTACGATAACCGGTGCTTTTTTGTTCATTCACATGAAAATAAATGTGCAGAAAGTAAGCATTGATAGAAGATAAGTACTCCTATATGCCTCAACATGATTATGGAATCGTTGTTAGAAGATTTGTCAACAATAAAAGGTGTTTAGCCGATTAAATCTTCAATGATAGAATCAATTGTATGTACATGTAATCATTGAATATCATTTTCCAAATCAGGCTATTTTAGCGATGCTTCTTTAATTTTTTCAATGGATGATTCCATAATTTTCTAGTCTGTTCATTAACCTTCAATTATATCATCTGAACTTACTCTTTTCTGAATATCAATTATCATATTCTCTACTCATATGGCCCTCCTGTTCCAGTTGCAAAGATGTCGCGGCCATAGATATCAACATGGGCTGTCCAAGAGCATTCTCTCTTAGTGGAGGAATGGGTGCTGCTTTACTCTCTAAACCAGAACTTATTCATGATGTACTCCTTATGTTACCTGAAAACTGTTGTAGCTAGAAAATGCATGAAGTGCTTTATCCTATTTGCTCACTGACATATCTTTTCTTTGCCTAGATTTTGACGACATTAAAGAGGAACTTGAACACACCAGTAACATGTAAAATTCGACTTCTCAAATCATCACGTGATACAGTAGAACTTGCACAACAAATTGAAAGGACTGGAGTCTCTGCTCTAGCTGTTCATGGAAGGTATTCACACTCTTAAGACTATTTAATTTCTGAAAAAGGTAATTAGCAGTTCGGCTCAGATTTACCAGACGTTATATATGAGTGCGATGGTAACTTTCTGAGAAACAGGCTTCTCACATCGACACCACAACAAATCTGAAAAAAGGAAATAAATGAAAAGAAGAAAGGAAACACATCTTATACTTAATAGACTATTATTAAATCTCCGTGAAACTTATTGGATACTTGCTCAGGAGTCATGGAAAACTCATGTGAAACACTCATTTCACTCTAGTATCATTTGGTTAAATTTTTTTTAAAAGAGAACTAGAGAAAATTAGTTCCCATTTATGGAAGAGTTTTTTTAAAGAAGATATATACAAGTAAACATTTACATCAATTTGAAATAATTGTTGAATTAAATGTATATATTTATGTTAGGGACATATATAAAAAGGCAAGCATATATTAGTTGTTTCCCCATAAGTCGTAACATCTATAAACACGTACATTTATGCTTACATATATTCTCCTAACAGATATTCTCCTAACAGATATTCTCTTATGACTATATGTATTATCTCTTTATAATTTATATTCACTGTATGTTTTTTTTAGTTAGATGAATGTTACTTTCTGTGCTGTACTATTTTATCTGCATTTGAAAGACTTCTTAACTTTGCTGAAGAATTTTAATGTAATAAACTTACAGTTGATTTTAGTTGACATGCAATTCAGGTATATGCACATGCAGACACATAAGTTCCCATGTTTTTATGGAAGTACATATCCCATGCTTGTGTCACATTACTCACTTATCATGTCCTTTTCTGTCTCCTCCGGCTAACCGTAGTTGAGCTAGATGTTTGTTTAGTCATAATCAACTTTCGTGAAAGGACTAACATAATCTTGAAGAAATCTTGTATCCAAATTCTGGAATGAGCTAGAATGAAGTCTTTGTTGAGTGAAAAGACATGCCAAGTACAACGACAGATTTGAGCCTCAGTAGATTATTTGCTTTGCTATCAAATTTGTATTTTTGCTCAAATTCAGTTCATAATGATTTATTTTTTTGTGAGATAGTGCTATCTCTTTGCATGTCATATGTGAACATATTAAATAGGACTATTCTGAACAGTTCTTCAGAAACCAGTTAAGAAAATCACTAGTTACACTTCTATGACAAGTACATTGACTGTTTCTCAGTCGGAGCATATGCTCCACACTTTAGTGCAGTTTGTAATCACATCTTGATCTTCTAGCCTGCACTTCTTTAGAATTATTTCACTTGATTGTTAGCAGTTCAACTTTTCATTATATTTTAATATAAATGTAGGCTGGTTAAAGATAGGCCAAGGGATCCTGCAAAGTTTATATTTTAATATAAATGTAGGCTGGTTAAAGATAGGCCAAGGGATCCTGCAAAGTGGGGTGAGATTGCTGATGTTGCAGCATCATTATCAATTCCTGTTATAGCTAATGGTGATGTTTTTGATTATGAAGATTTTGAACGCATCAAAGGTGCTACAGGTATGTAGAATGTTTATCAAGCTGTCTATGCATATGTTTTAGTTTTAGTTTTTTTATAAAATAGTTAGGTAGAAAATTGTACTTTCAAGCACAAGGACATCTGACCACACTGCTTATCATCCTAATAACTAACTGAAGGTTTTTCCTAAAATGTTGAACCAATCTGCATCATTGACGATTTAATTAATCAACATGGAAAATCCTCTTTATTTGTCCAGATCCTCGTAGAAAATTCTATGTTTTCCGTTCAAGACCAATTTTCTTTCAAGCTTTCTGAGACTTTTGGGTAGTATATTCTCTTTAAGCTGATTCCAATTATATAGATTCATCTATTTGGTAATCCACTGATGTTGAATATGTCCATTTTAGTTCTACTATTGTGTCGGCCACGTGTTGGAATAGTGTTATTTGTTCCCTTGGAATGTATAATTCTTATCCCTCGGAAAGTACCCATGACTGAGTTCTAATCTAATGAATTACACGATAAAATTCTTATACACAAGTCATTGCAGCCTGGAAGTATATAAGGTTTTGTTGCGAATGAGGCAAAATACTACTATAAGGTCTAAAGTAGAACTTTGATCATTGATGACCAACAAGCTCAATGGACCACTTAAACCTGTGGATTTAATGAACATAACACTAGTGGTGAAGCCTTATTCTGATTCCCAAAGATTGCAATGTTGTGAACTGAGTGAGCCAAGTTGGTTTACTGGTTGTTTGGCAGACCGTGATGCACCAGTTGTGCCAGAAAAGTCAATAACCTGGTAATTCCGTCACTTAGATTACAGGAGTATCGGTAGCTCATTCAGTTTCTGTACACTTTGAGACCATTTCTTAAAAACTTTGTCTCAGGATTCAGGGAAAAACTTGACCATGAGGTGTGTGATTCACAGCTTATAGCCTGATAGTATTTACATATTGAATACTATTTTTTGCAGGGTATAATCTAATGTGTCTCTTCTTACCTGCAATACCATCTACCTGATCTTAGTGAATGTGCTTTTCTTTGGTTGAAGCCCTTATATGCTGAAATGTATTTTCTGGTAGTCATTATTTTGTTGTATTTGATTGATATACAAATGTTTTAGGTGCATCTGGTAATAACATGTTCCCATTTCATCTCAGGTGCCACATCTGTGATGGTGGCTAGAGGTGCACTGTGGAATGCTTCGATTTTCTGTGCAAAAGGCAAGTCATCTTGGTCGGATGTCAAGAGAGAGTATCTGCGAAAGGTGATTAGCTTATACCTTTTGTCTCCTTTCTTTTATTTTGTTTTCTGATAATAGTACTGGTTGTAAAATATCAGCAACAGTTTGGTCATTTCTCTAAGGCATTCTATTGAACAAGTTGGCATATTTGAGAAAATATTTGTTTCTAGTTCCTCTCCTGAGAGGAATCAATGATTTTACTCATTTGGATTTATCTGATTCACAGAGCATTTTGTGGGACAATGATGTTAAAAGCACAAAACACACTTTGAAGGAAATGATTATGCACTATTCGTCGCTTGAACTTGCAGAAGGAAAGGCTGTTATTAAATCTGAGACTGATATGGATTTAGCGTAAGTATAATTCTATTCTTTTGCTTTCCAGAGGAAGATATCCAATCAACATTTGGAAGATTTGCACATAACTTCTGTATTCAGAATGTGACAGTAGCCTTATCAATATAAATATTTTGATTTTTGAATAACCTCATTTGTCACTATCCACATAATTTATCTATCTAATTACGATAAGTTATTAAATTCGTCATTAAAGTTTGGTCAGAGTGTACTATTCTTCATAAACGTAGTTGAAATAGGTTAAGACTATCCCATCAGAGAAAGGTTTATTGTGGAATACCATTTGCCACTTAGTATTTTCGCTAGAGATGGATATTGTTACGAATGTGGCTACAAATTTGAGTTCAACGACCAGCTCTGTAATTTGAAATTATCAGACAGCAAGCAACCGTAGAAGGACATGCAGGTGTTTGTTGAATCAAACTAGTGACCGCTATTTGAAACTTTAGGAGTTGGAAATTGAGCAAATACTAATAAAAGAATCTAACATTTTAAATATCAATTTACACGTAAGTACACTAATGCAATTCTACTGCCTTATTTTTGAAAATTTCAACTGTATTACAATTCTTGCGAATTGTTTTCTTATTTGCACCAAATTACAGTAATTTAGTTCTTCTACTCCCTGTTGCAACAATGAGTTTGATTATTTGAATATTGCTGAGTATTACTGGATCTCTAATTATCACGTCTTATTCCTTGTTATTTAGGAAATTGTATGGCGAAGAGGAGTATTATCATTTAGTTAATATCAATCGTCCTTAACAGGATCTTCCTTCTGCTTCAGTCAACTATAATTCATTGGACTTCTGCCAAATGGCATCTCAGGTAAAATTAATTTTCTTTGTTGTCATCAGAAGAAAATAATGACTAGCATCATATCCTTAGCCATTCTAAAATATTGCATTACTAGCAATTCAAACATTACCATCAGTTATATTTCTATTAATCTTTTTAATCAGCATAGTGGCACAAGGGGGCATGATAAGAAAGGCTTTCAATTTGAGCAATGTCACATGATCTTATACTTGAAATGATTGTTTTCCCATGCAAATTTATGCTCAAATCCATTGTTCATTAATTTTTTTCCCCTACCCATGCATCTCTGTATGCCTACCGGGTGTGACTTTATTAGCACTTCATGGAGAAGGACTACCTAATGGCTAATACGTCTTGTGGCAGTTAATATTTAGTTATACTTTGGGAAGGTTATATGTGTGTGCATCAGGCACCATACATGTAAAATTCCTAGAAACCCCTTCAAACCGTTTGTACAGTTTCTATGAACCGATTCCCTCCGATACACGACTTGGTTCCTCAAAACTAATTCTTAACGTAGAGCATGTTGGTGGATATAGCAAAGTAGGAAGTTTAGAGAAGATGACAGAAGCTGAACTGGTTAAACCAGTGTTAGGCCCTGACTATTTGCACATTGTCCAACTTTAGCTTTTTCAGTTCTACGTGTTCATGTATAGTTGATAGCATGCACAGATAAGATTGTGCACATGCACATATACTTGTTAACCTCACTTTGACTCAACAGATTTTTCACTACCTGAGTTCACTATATATATCACAATAGTTTTTCCTTCTAAAATATATGTAGTGTAGACTGTAGGTGACGAAAATATCTAGTGACCAGTTGTTGGATTCTCAAGCTTCTAGTCCCAACTCTTTAGCAGCTAAAGACTATAAAGGTTGCCAACCAAACTTTAGCGCCTGCAATGCCAACTAACTTCCACAAAAAAAAAAAAAAAAACTCTTATTGTTAACTGCAGTAATTATGCCTTCTGTTGAAAAATATCTTTGATTTCTAAGCGATATTCCACCTGTGCCATTGAAGTATCACCGGTTAAAAATCACTGCAGGATGTTACGTGGGGACTGTGGAGATATGAGATACCATCATTTTTGCAGGGTAAAATTATGCCCTCTCACTGATGTGAAATTGGTGACATGTCTCTGACGGTACCATGCTAATTCCAGGGGATGGTATGAGATCTAGTTGATTATCCATCTTTCACTAATTTGGCAAGTAGAGAGTGTCAATTTATGATTTTTTAGTAAGAAGGAAGATTGAAATTCTTCCTTAAACAGGACGGATCAGATCAATTGTAATTCAGTATAATTCATGTTATTTAACTTGCTTAAGTGTCAATTTATGATTTTTTAGTAAGAAGAAAGATTGAAATTCTTCCTTAAACAGGACGGATCAGATCAATTGTAATTCAGTATAATTCATGTTATTTAACTTGCTTGAAGATGAAATTATTTTCAGTTTGTACCACGTAACATTAAGTGCTTTGAGAATTTTTTTACGAAGTTTGACTTGTACTAATGGTGCATTCCAAGGCACTGAACAGTGAAAAGATTTATAGACCTGCAAGTTTTTGTTCAAATGTTCTCTGGTTATAATTACCACTTATCTTTTTAAAAAATTGTTCAGAACTTGATATGAATGCTATGGGTCGTGTTTATTTGTGATCTGATATGTCTCCTGGGATCAATAATCCGACGGATTAAATTATTAACCCGTTAAATAAGTTTTATTTTAGCCCTTATGATCAGTTTTAGTGTTTGGGAATAATAATGATTTTGATTATTATTTTTTATAATTAGAAGGGTTAACTCTTATTCCATCTAAATAGGAGTATTAGTAAACCCCTCATTTTGAAGGGTTAGTTCATTTTAACCCCTCTAGAGGGGTTAACCTAACCCTTCTATATTTTTTATGTTTGGTAAATTATGGAGGGTTAACTCACTTTAACCCTTATATAGATTTGTTGTGTTTGGCAGGTTAAGAAGGGGTTAAGTCTCCTTAACTTCTCACTTAACCCTTTGCCAAACGGTACCTTGTAGAACAATTTTATTTCGGGGGACAAACTACTTATCTACAAACTAGTTATCTAAGCATGACCAGAGGTATGAGATACCATATGATTGGTGATGGTTTTTGTCATCAGCAAGTGAGACTTAACAGCATTGCTGATGCCAGTGCTATCAAGCGATTATGATTTTGTTTATTAGATTCGTGGAAATCCTTATATATAAAGTCCTGCATCAGCATTCAGCATGCAAAAATGTCATAACATGTGTGCGTGCGTTGAACGTTGGCGTCTGCTGTCTTAATTATGGAAGCAAGTGATTATAATTGGAAATTTTGGTAACTGCGTCCAGGCCTCTTACAATAGGATTGGTATCCTCTACTCATCAATAACCTTACAATAACTGTGGGACCATCTTAAAATAACTGTGGGATCCTCTACTCATCAATAACCTTACAATAATTGGAAATTTTGGTAACTGTGGGATCATCTTTTATTTTGTGTTTATTCACAAAATGAAAGGTGGAGATGCATTAGCAAATATTAGGAGCTACTATTGATGAGTAGAGGATCACAGTCCCTTACAATAATCCCCGCGTAATTCGTATCTATTGCTCGCACGTTCCCACGGTCACGGGACGCGTTGATAAATTTCAACCCGAGTTGACGTATGTCGGCACTCTGACCAATAATTTAAAGTTGTGGATAGACCCTAAATAGTACTAATACCGGTGTTTAAAAAGACTGACAGTGACGGTTTTGTAAATAAAATTTTTCTGTAGATTTCTATAAATTGTGTTTGGTTCAAAAAATTTTATAGAAAAGTTTTCCATAAAATAGGGAAAAGTACCATATTTTATAGAAATCAACTTTCACTCAAAATAAGCTGAAATCACCCAGAAATATGACAACCCAAATATAAAAATAATAAAACTTCACCCGTACCCTACTCCCACCCAGATCTATTTCCTCGTGGGCGATTGAGGGCAGCCGCTCATTCCCGGCCCCAAAACTAGTTTCCCACCGCGCCTTTTCCTCTTCCTCCAGCTCTCGTTTTACCTATTGATGCCATTCCAGCTCTCGTCCTCACCTATTGACGCTATTCTTAAGTGCCAACGAGCTCGAACTTCGTCGGTTTGGTTGATTTTGTAGCTGATTTGGGTATTTTAGAACAAATCTCTGTTCTTGTGGTTGATTTTCCGAATTATCGAGGTAATAAAAAAAACCCTAAACCCTTTCGATTTTGCGGTTGATTTTCCGAGCTATTGAGCTATTCGAATTAACTTGATTTCTTTGAACTTCGTCGGTTTTGGTTGCTTTGTTTGAACTTCATCAATTTGGGTTGTGTTGATGTTAATGTTGGCCTTCTTGTTTTGATGATGTTTAAGAAACAATTTACTCCTAATATTGTTTGTCTAGTGTTTGTGTTTTTGTATTTATTCTAGGCAAACAACGAGTTGGAGGTTGGATGGATTGCGCCATAACGATCATATCAAATGGAGGTTGGTGGAATAGTGGTACATACATGGTTTTGAGTTTTCAAGTTTTAATATAAAACAATTGAATATAATTAGAAAACATATTTTTTGTTTCATACTTATATGCATATATATGATTTCATCAATATTAATTTTATTTAGTTTAATGAAATCATGTTTTAGTGCATTATATGTGTATTTTGATAAAATACTATATTCATTGTTTATAGACTTCATAACAATAGTTTACATCTTTCTTCAAGTCTATAAAATCATTTTATAATATTTCAAAACATGGTTAAGCTAAAATGTCAAAACTCATATGTTCACATTTTCATGTTTTGGACTTGTAGGCGTATAAAACTGCTTATAGGTCCCTTGACACAGCTCGGCGCGATGATTCGACAAATCGACGAACGTTCAAGCAACGAAACGAACTAAAGAGGCTACAAAGCTAACGAACTGCATGTGAACAACGTTAGTGGTTCGGGGAGTCGACGGGTCTTCCAACAAAGTGGATTTGAACTCAAACACCGACTGAGTTTACTGCCAAATCCGGAATCAAGTCAACAAATCAACAAAACAACCGAACAACGGACAAAACAACCGGAAACAACGGAAAACGACAAAACCAGCGCACCTGGGGGAACTCGGCCCGAACCGAACCACCCTAAGGTGGCTCGGCCCAAGCCGAGCCACCCTAGGGTGGCTCGGTGGCCGAGCCACCCCAGGGTGGCTCGGCTCAGGCGAGCACCCTAGGGGGGCTCGGCCAAGGCCGAGCCACCTCAGGGTGGCTCGGCCAAGCGGAGCCACCCTGAGTGGCTCGGCCAAAGCCGAGCCACCCAGGGGGCTCGGCCAAGGCCGAGCCACCCTGAGGTGGCTCGGCCAAGGCCGAGCCACCTCAGGGTGGCTCGGCATGAGCCGAGCCACCCTCAGGTGGCCCGACTCCCCCCCCTCTCTCTCTTGTGCACAAAGGCACAGTTCAGAGAGGCTATAAATAGGGGGGGTGGTTGTTCATTTGAGGGACTTCTTCTGAAACTTTTGAGAGAGCCGAAACTCTGCCGGATTGTCACCTCAACTCGGAGATCTGAAGGCTTGAAGACTTGGAGACCCGGATTTGATTCTTAGCGAGCACCCGCACCGAAAAAGGCAGGAGTTCGAGAGAGTCTAATCCTCAGATCTACGTCGTTACACTCCGGATCTAAGCTTGGTTCTTAGATCCCGAGATTCGAGCGGTCGTTTCCTTGGTGAAACGATCCCTCCCGGCTATTATCTCCTTGGTGGGATAATACCCGTAATACGTCGTAGATCTGCTTGGATCCAGATCACGCGGTGGTCCACGGTAAGCAACCCCGGCGCAGGCAAACAACCCACAGAAGCAAGAGACCGGATAACAGGATCTTGTGATTTGTTCGGTAAAAGAGAGAAGTTGTAATTTTGATTTCTTTGTTTTATTTTGATTTTCATTGTAAGCCGGATCTTATAAAAAGACCGGATCTCTTTGTAACGCATAAAGTTGTTAACTGAGTGCAATGACATCGATAATGAAGAAAACACCAACTTTTCCCGCGAACAATCTGGCGACCACAGTGGGAGCCACCGATCTCACTGCTGAGATCGGAGCGTCGCAGCCGCGGATCTCGATCCCGGTCGTGGAGGAGGTCGAGTATGAGTTCGACCAACAGAAGTACGAGGAGTACGTGTCCTCGTCTGGATCTACCTCCTCCCCCAAGTCCAAGAAGTTTCAGAAGTTCTCCTCCAGGAGAAAAGTCCGTTGGTGCGAAGAAGTTGAAGCCACCAACGACGACCTCACCCCATTCGACGCCGAAGTTGCGTCAGGTGAAGTCCTACCGGCCTCGAAGCAGGTCAAATCCGCCGTCGAAGGCGTGGTGATTCTCTCTAAGAGAGCTCGCCAGAGGCAGCGCCAACGCCTCGCGAAGCAGTTCGCCAAGGCCATGGAGTCTGTTGACGGGGTCCGTTACCATGCGGATCTGAAGAACAAACGAGGCAAACAGCCTCAACAGCAAATGAAGGATGGTTCCTCCAAGCCATCAACAATGGAGTGGGTTCGTGTCAAACGGGACCGCTCGACACTGGAGGAACGTATCCGCAAGCGCCGCGCATTATCTGCGCAAGCGCGGGCTAAAGCTGAAGAAGCCCGTCGCAAGCTACAGCGTGAGGTGGCCGAGAAGCAGCCATCGACTCGCAAGGTTTGGAAGCCGAAGTCTGGAGTGGTTCAGACTAAGGAGCAAAACCCGCAACCGCCAAAGGTTCAACACCCGGCAAATCAATCCAAACGGCCGGTGATTTCTGCAACTGCTCCGGGAAATCCTGCAGGACCATCCCAGGAGAGAAAGTCAGTTTTGGAGCGCCTCGGTCCTATTCCCAAAGAACGAGGTAAAGCTCCAGTCCAAGAACGCTTGGGACCAATGAAGAAGTCCCAAACAATATCACATGCTGGAGGTCGCCGCAACCCGCAGCACTTGGAGAAAATTGCGGCGCCCAAGCGCACAACTTTGCGCATAGAAGTACAGGAGCCTGCTGGAGATTCACGCTCACAAAGGCGCGTTTCAAGGCGTGCGACTCTGGACGGTCCGAAGAAGATAAACCATCCTCAGAAGGAAATGTTGTCGTCTGATGACGACGACGTTATACCTGGGAGAATGTGCCAACACACGATGGGTTGCTCCAACCGTCAAACGGACGAGCTGTACTATCGTGCAGGGGGTACGAATAAAACCAGAAAGAGGAGCCCTCAAAGATTAGAAGCGCAATGTCCTTGCTCGAAGCTTATTCGGGCAGTACTCTCAGAATGCAACTGTGTCAAGACAGTCCCTGACAGGGTTTCAGTATTCGAGAGACTTAGTGTCGAAACGCCAAAACCAAGGCATAGGCGTTTCCAACGAAGAAGAATAGCGGTCAAAGACGGTGAACATCCGAGAGTCACCGCCAACATGACCAACAGAGGGACGTCGATACGAGATGATCTCGAAACAATACTGAAAGCATCCCGACCTAG